TCTATAGAAGAGGATTAGGTCCACTTGTATTCTTTTTAAGTATCTTACCTTCTAAGGACCTTAATATTACCTTGGAATTAAAGTTACCTTACTAGAAAGTTACTAACCTTAATTAGTAAAAAAGGTACTTCGAATGGTTTTTTCCTTCAAGAACTACTCGTAAGATTAAAAGGTTCCTAAAAAGTTACCTAGACCCCTTAGTAGGCCTTTTTCTCAGAAGTAAAACAAACAAAAACTTTTGGTCAGCTTTTTAAAATATTTCTATGTGCCCTAATCCCCTTCCCTAACTATCGGATTGCCCCTTTAGATTTAATAATGTGTCTTTTGTTAGTTCCCACAGCTTTATGAAGGTGCAATACTAAATCAGTGGAGAGCCCATATACACTGACCTGTAAAACACACTTAGAGATGAGTAAGGAGAAACACTTACATTTTGAGAGAGCTAGTCACTATAGTTTATACAAATACTTTGATGCATTCCAACGCAGGTATGTGTCATGAATTATACTTTACTGCAGTTCATACTGTAAATACTCAGAATGCACACTGAGAAACAACATATTGCAGAGTAGTCGTAGTAGTATTTTAAACTTTAAATTCTATATAAATAGATGTAATGCCATGAAAAGTGTCATACCATGAAAGAGGTGATACTAAATGTTGGCGATATCTTTAGCCAACTTGATATTTGATCAGCATGTGTCTCAATATGTAACAGTAAAGACATGGGAACCATAGCACGGACAATAACATGGACAGACTAATGAATAGGACTAGGTAACCCGGTGACTAGAGACACATGAGAAAAGCAAACAGAGCACCCACAGGAGAAGGAGACAGTATGAAGCGTTTGCTCAGGACGCCAGCATGACCATTGAGAGGCTCAAGAAGAAAATAGAAGGAGACTGATTTCTCTTTCTAATCCAGGGCAGTTTTAGACACAATTCACAGTAGTAACTTACTGCAGGATTTATAACAAATCTTGGAATGTCATGGATCATATGAGAGAAACTCATTCTCTGAGAGGTAGATTGATTTCAATTAAATCATCTGGTTTTTATTATTAAGAGGAACTAAAATGAAGGCAAGTTGAGTATTATTAAAACATCCATAAGTCAAGAAATGTTTACTCTTGAGTTTCTGTGGTTCAAAAGCAACTAAAAGGTTCTTGTGAGGGTTTTTAAATTAAAATGTAAAATAGGCCAAAACTCTTGAACATGTCACTTTGCTTTCTAAATAAAACAGGTTAAAATACAACAATGCTAAAAGAAATATCATACAGATATATCATTTGCAAACAATAATGATTTGCGAACAATAATCAAAATGTATTTTTCTATTTATTAAAATGTATTTAAGGGATATTCAAGGATAACATACAGGTCCTGAAATATTGAAGTAAACAAGTGCTCTTTAATAGGGGAATATGACATGCAACAAAGGATGACAGCTGGAACCAACTCAGACATGGCTCTTATTGTGGTTACACCCCGGCTTATCATATAACAAATGTCCTTCATAGTACAACTTGACATATGTCATGTTTAGGATTGTTGTTGTTATATATTGTACATAGACTTATATTAGGTATAAACAGTGACCTGGTTCAAATAGTGACTAAAAGAGTGTAGATGACACATTTGTACTGTTTACAGAGAGGCAACTGATCATTCAAGATAACAATAAAGTCTCCACAAAAGGTAAGTGTAGATGCTGTAAAAGCAAGTTATGATACTACTGTGTTTCTTCAATAAAAGAAGAGCAAAGAATGACCCTGAAGATAGTGTTGTAGTAAGTATTTTTGCCTTGTGCTTTACCTTTTCTAAATGGTTTCCAATAGCGGGTAATCAGAAACAAGTTTCTGGCACGTCAGGTTTAATTTCCAAAGCTGCTCAACTAACGTTTCTCATAAATAGCTCTTGTGCATTCAGTTTTCTTGCATGTTTTTCCTGCGATTTGTGCACGATCCAGTTTCCAAAACGGTGTCAACAACATCGGTGGTGAATTCAGAGGCTTTACAAAGAACTACACTGAAAATCAGCAATCTCAAAATATAAAATGCTTTAACCTGTAGTCCTCAATAGGCGCTTTCACACCGGATTACTTTTTTCAGTATAGTTCCGATATAGTTCCGAAAATGTGCGTTCACACCAAAACAATCCAGAATTATAATTTAGTTCATGAGAACCTTTCCACCCCCTTTTTTTAGTCCCTGCTAGAGAGCAGGGACTTTCATGGGAGAAAAAGGTTCCCATTTCTGATTGGCTGGGCAGATTGCAAACCACGCTCCGTA